ATATGTAAATGAAAATATGCCTACATAATTAAGTTTGCAGACCTCGATATTGCGTATGAATATTATTTCATTTAATATGGGAAACAGCACCGCGTACGCTCTTGAAGCGTCTGGCATAAAAAAACTGCTGTCTTAAGGTGTCTTGGTAGTAGTATTTATTTCTTATTTCTTTACAATGTTCCCTATAGGATACGAAAAAGTTGCAATTTTTACGACCCTCTTTGCAGGACTGATTCCTGACAATGGACCATCGGTTTAAGTCAGGGAGTATTTATCAGTTCACTGCACACATTTATTTTATATTAACTAATAATATTATATTAAGATATGTCCGTCACAATAAAGTAAATATTAGTGTTACACTGTTCTCACATAATTGAACCAACTGTTTGTAAAAGGAATCTGTATGTGAAACTAATTTAAAAAGAGTAACCATGGAGTTTCTTGCTCGTTCTTCTCCATCGGAATCTACACTTTGGAACGAGCAAATAGCTTCACTAAGAAGACCGACCGACAGATGACACTATATCTTCAAAATTTTGTTTGACGTTCAAAAGTGCCTGTAAGGGTCTAATGGAATAAATGTTTTTTTTTTTAAAAACGTTGCCCCTCACTATGATTTTTTCCTGTGTCGTGGGTGCGTTTACAAACATACAAATTCACATACACACATGACACCCAGACCCGGAACAACAATTTGTGGATCACACAAAGAGTTGTTCCGTGCGGGAATCGAACACGCGACAAGTTGCACGGTAGCCAGTTGCCCAGCTACCGCGCCAACCGTGCCGTCAATTTTTGACTTTTTCCTTTTTTTTTGTAAGATGTAGAGGGACTCTAGGATCTTGGTACATAAATTTAAAATCACCGATTCACCTTGAGCAAGCGCGAGCGATTATTGCTCATACCTTCTCCATGAGAAAGATGCCTTTTGTTGAGACAGTGGGCAATTCTTGGCCGCTGATATATGTGTCTCTCTTTAAGTGAGATAATTAGACTGTCATTGTAGTAATTTTCTTAGCAAAACGGACGACGAACAACTAACAAAATTCAAAAGCATCTATCTAAAAGCAGGATTGAAACAACTTTGCTCTAACACCCTAAACCTAACCAATACAAGTTTAATCTGGAAGAGCCGCTGAATGTTTAAACAGGTGAACTAAATTCAGTCCACACGGTTTGCAACTAAGTACAGTCACCAGCATTTCACCCTACCCTTACTACCAAATTTCTTTATTCAAATCACAACTTTATCCGCTTAAATATAAAGTCGGAAATCCCATGTAAACTATGACAGATTAGAGTATCTGTAGCTGCTGGCGTCTACACTACGTTTGCTTCCTTGTTTTATATCGAACACACGTACCACAGTTGAAAGTTTGTACAAGAATGTTGGACTATCAAGGACCTTGGGGACAGTTCAAATGGTCTGTTTAAGTTGCACGTACGGTGTTAAAATTTGTTGTAATATATTGTGATGTTAAATGTGTGAGTAAGTAGATAGGTATTTATTATAACTACATTGTTAAATTTTGCACTGTAATAAGGCATCGGCTAATATGTTTGCTAGTTAGGTATTAAAAAAATGCATGGTTGCATCAATAAATTAAGCTTGGGCACTCACTTACACTTATTATCGAAACCACGAAACGTTGCCAAGCACCAGGAGTGCAGTCATATTTTCCTGAGTTGGACACAATTTCACCCGAAATGACTAATTACATTTTAATATCAACAAATGGGTCTTGTGTAACTATAACCTATATGTTTTTTTTATGTGATAGGGCGGCAAACCAGCAGACGGATTACCTGATGGTAAGCAATCAGCGTCTCCCATGGACACCCACAACAAAGAAGGAGTGCGTTGCCGACCTTTTAGGGATTGGGATTTTGGGGATTGGGAAGGGATTGGGCCTCCGGTAACCTCACTAACACGGCGAAACACAACGTTGTGGTTGTTTCACGGCGGTTTTCTGTGAGGCCGTGGTATCACTCCGATCGAGCCGACCCAGTCGTGCCGAGGCATGGCTCTCCCACACTTATAATTGACACTTATATGATTTCTATAAATTATTTATCAAATATTAGTACTTTAGGATTTTCAGACCAATAAGTTTAACTTTTAGTAAATTATTACATTAATATATTCAAATAAAAATCTCAAGGACCTTTCACCGAAAGTCTCGACTGATTACATAAAACCGTTCCTTAAACACATAGTAAACCCAGCCCTAAATCACAGACATAAAGTTTAATTTCCCTCTAAGTATAAAGCGCCACTTGTTGCCAACCACGGTTCCATTGTTGTGTGATTGAATCTGAAGGATTAGCAGTATTGTTCGAGGGTGTTAGTGGAACACCTGAGAGGTGGAACCATTGGGAAAATTGTTTTAAGATAAACACACTGATTGTGTCTTTAGTCTTTTCTATCTTTGATGATATTTGGAAATTTTACCGGCTAGTTTTTTATGCGCTGGTAATATGACGTGTACTTTTAGCATACATTTTAAACATCAAAGATTTTAGACTTTTGTTACTGGAATAATATATGCATTTGGTTATATGTTAGTTTGGATACCGTACCTTTTACATTTGCCGGGGTTGTGGGGTAAGCGTAATGAGGCACCGCGACCTCGGCCCAGAGCAGGAGAAGGAACGGGGGGTTTTTAGTCAGTAAGAGTCTGACACTCCCTCCCGCCCGACCCTGGGCAAGAGAAGTCATTTGACGATTTTCCCCTCACAAAAAAAAAACACATTTACTTTTGTGATTTTTTTGTTTAGGAGATGTTAAAAGTATTACAAGTAATATATAAGAAGAATTTTATAATTCTTCGATGCACCAGTGACTTTCAGATGTGTTAGTCTTAACATAGCTGGTTTAATTTTGGGAAATCTGCCAATATATTTGGTATGTAATTGAGGCCGTAATGCGGAGTGAAAATAACTAGGAAATCTTCTTCTTCTTGCTCCGAATCAGTGATGCTCACAAAGGAGAAAGCGGAGTGCATGACGAAACTATCCTCCTCGCGCCGCAGCCACCGCAGTAGTCAATCTAAAAGTCGGGGGTCGAAGCGACAATCTCTGGTCACCGTAAATGCGGGGCGGCGGATGGCGAGTAAGGGTAACTGGCCACTTGACCAGAATGCAACCTTATCTGCGGCGTGAAGCGTTTTACACGGCGCGCCTAAAAGGGCCAGCTGTAGACAACCACAAATGGCGCCCAATAGGGCCGATTTTCAGCCGCGGTTGCGGCCTGGGACAGGAGAAGGAACGGGGTGGTTTTTAGTTCGTCTGACACTCCCCTCGGCCAAGAAAAGAAATTAAATTGTATTCTCTACCGTTATTCCAAAAAATAAAGCCTGTTTCCCGTATACTAAAGAACGAACTTTCAATTCTTGATACGTATCATAGACCCGAAACAAACCCGATCACACAAAGAGTTGTTCCGTGGGAGAATCGAACCCGCGACATTGGTTGCTTGCTCAATATTTCTTTACTGCTTACTAAGTAACTTGGCTATGCCTTTCCTGTTTTTCAAATAACTTACTAACTACATGATCCGTACAGCTCCATTTTGAAAAATCAAGTGATGAGTTTATGGAAAAAATCCGTAAATAAAACGACATAAAATATAATTCAAATTGTTTATTCTCAGTACATTCAAAGCATTGTCACGTGCCAAAGTCTATACTTATATATATTATTTACATCTTAGTGTTATATTGGGATCGCCTTTTATTATTCTGTTGTTGACAGCAATCATATTATTACTCGCTCATGTATTATTCCGAACATGTGTTAAATATTCCGAAAAGTATTAAGTGTCAACAAAAATGTTGATGAAAACTCTGTTTTATTTCTTCAGTGGTAAAGTGTTATTTCTTTATTGATTTGATGTGGAATTTATTAAGATTTTACTCAGCTTTCTATAAGTGTATTTGAGTAATGTAGTTAATGAATTTGCCTTTGTCAAATTGTAAAATTTGTAAAATGGCACATATTACAACGTTTTTGACTTTATGTAGTTCGAGAAATTTGAAATATTTATTATCTCTTGATTTTGTAACTCAGGTCATAATATCACGGATTTTTATCAAAACACTTTTATTGCCATCTACAACAGAATAAACAACCGCTATTTCGTCTGTGAGTTTTGATAGTTGATCAAAAAAGTCTTTATATAACTTAGTATTGAACAACAATCTTTCGCGGTACAATACCGACTCGCGGTATATCGGTAAGGCCAAGCGAATTCTGTTAACTAGCTGTGGCACAATCCTTAGCCTTTATATCAACAATATTAGGATTAAATGAAAACAAATCATACACATCATCAGCCTAATCATTTTTCCAAAACATTTCGTCAATTTCAATACTCGTAGGTTACCACAAAACAATATCATTAAAACAAACGTCATTATAACCATACAAAATGACTAATGCTAGCGTAAAAATTTTGTGCATTTTCATATAAATCGCCCTCCACACATTCTGACAAAAATAGATTGTTTCTCTTATTATTATCACTAAACATCGTTTTAAATTAGTTTTCTATCTAAACACATCGAATTTGGAAACTCCATTAAAGTCTGGAACTTTCCAAAGACGAAGTTTCTCATCTTAACTACATTTTGCGATATTGTCGGCGTATCTAGAACTAACCTTTTGTTAAAAAAATTATGCCAAGCAACTACGCCAAAATAAACATTCACGCTCAAAATATCACACTCCAAAATTGATGGACATAGTCTCGTGAAATGTCTTCACTTAAATCACTTGAGGTAACTTTTAGACAAGCATGCAAAACTTTCAAGTAAAAAGTCTTAATCTTCTCCGCAATTTTTATCATTATCATTTGAATCTTCGAAAACTAACGGTTCGACCAATACTGTAACTTTAAAATATTTGGACACAAAAATCTGGAATGATATTTTTGCTACACTGGTGTTAAAATCAATAAGTCAGGGTGGCTTGTCTCAGACACTATAAGAGCCATCAAATCAATATGTCTTCATTAGTATGTGTTCAGCTAATGGCGCACCAATATTTGCTATAACGCCATTACCTTTTTTCTTATCTTTCCTATGCAAAGTACACTTTTTGTCTTTTAATCCGATCTCAGATTTATTGTGTGTTGTCTTTATTTGTGACGAAACAGATAAGTTACGTTTTTTGGTCCCGCACGATCTATTGTCACTGTCTTTTTTATCACTTGAGATTTTGATAGCACTTTTTGTGTACACAGTTTTATTTTTCTCTTCATTTTGTGGTATTCGTTCTTCTTTCGATCCAACCGCTAGTTGTGTGTGGTCAAAGCATTTCGTTGACTTCTGTGGAAGAAATAGAAATATTAGAATATGTGTGTAGTTAAAAAAATCGAAATGGTTTGCAAACATGAAGTATTTATATCAAGCTTGCTTTAATTACAAATAATGTCACATATCGGTCGATATTTCGGGTATGTTCACTTTGTTAGTACAATAACAGTATATTAGACAATAGACACCTGTATCTCACTGTACTATCGAGTCTAGAACGTAGTCTGTTGATTTAACAGCTTCATTGGGAGCAACACAGTTTACTGTATCACTTGTACTTAGATCAACAATGTAGAGGTGCACTACAAACGTCTTATCGTAAACTGTTCTCACTATATCTAACCAAGTACTATCATTAGAATTCCAATGTACTGCAGTATTACCTACGTAAGTACAATGCAGCTAAGTTATAATTTTTATTTTGGGACGACTAATTTTATATCATTTATTTCGATGATTAAGATGATAAGCACTAGAATACCATTTTTGGTTGACAATTGTACATAACAACACACGTCAGTAACTTGTAGTTGTTGTAGAGATCTAGCACAAAGTTATTATCAGTCGAGTTAGTTAACTAACTAAAACAAAAAGTGCAAATTCAATAGCAAAGAAACAGTGATCATGACAAGAAACCATTGAAAATGCGTTAGGCCAATAATAACTTCAGTTCAATGCTTGTTCATAAGACATAACTACAACTTCTGGTCATAATATCATGTTGTATAACCTTCCTAGCCATAATCCATGTAGGACTATCCAGCAGAATAGGAATTGTGCAATTCGTAGTAGAATTTAACGTAATAATAATGTGTAATGTAACTAATACTAGTAGCGCGACAAAACAATTTTTTTTCTTCTAAAAGGATTTAATATGGAATATATTATAGTACTATACTTACAGTAGGGCTGACGGCCTTAGAGTATAATTGTGCTCGACCTTCCAACTCCATCTTAAGCCGCCAGTCTCTAAGGTACATGTGCGCTGCAGCTGCACTTGGCCAACCTCGTCTCCACGTGTGCCACCTATTACAAATTCTTAGATTAAACCTACATTTTAATAGACTACAAAATGTTGATAGCAAGTAGTTGACGTTTAAAAGAGCATTTAATGCACTTTTAAACGTCAAATCAACAAACGTCCAACGAACGTCAAATTAATAAACTAAACTAACTGAAATGATTTGACAACTAAAGGACGTAGATGTCCTTAAAATAAAATACTTCTTTTACAGTTTCAAATTCAAAGCCAAATATTACCTAATCTTAATGAAACATTAGCAGGAATAATTAAGTACTAAGCAAAGGGTTATCAGAACATTTAGATAATGCGTGTGTGTTATAATAAAAAACAAACATGTAAATTTAAATTAAAAGAGTATTTTCAATTTTAAAATTGGAAATATGATAAAAGTGTTAACAGTTGTCGAAATTTGAAATTCGATATTATGGTTCTTCAAAAGTTACATTTAGTTGAAAAAAAGGAATGGTATTTAAATAAAATTAAGTATTGTGCAACAAACATATTTAGACTCCTAAAACTTCAGTAATAGTTTCTTATAAAAAAAAAATACACACAATACTTTATGCATAAAGTGCGCGTGCCCGGTGCCCCAGAGGGAGGCAAATATTAAAGTTAAATGTATATTTAGTGACATAATACGTGTGTAATGAATTTTTTTTACTAGATATTACAATTAAATTGATTTAATAATAAATGAATTAATACGATATAACACTAAAATATAATAAATTAATAACATAAATATAATGTAATAATTATAATAATTTATAATGTAATCATAATATAATAACGTAACCACAATTAGTGCAATAAAGATTTATTATTATTATGTAATGAATTTCAAAATTATAGACTAACGTCTGAAATAAAATATATTTTTTTAAACATAGAAATAATGTCTGTTTTTTCTTTGTATTTTTTTTTTACTTGCAATAAACTAGTGCTTGTATTAATTCACCAACCTTGTTAATAACTGCAATGTTCTTGACTTCTGACCCAGCGACCGGTACATCAGTGCAGTGTACCTGAAGGTAATCAGATCTGCTCTGACGTTCCTCTCTGCTCCTCGATATCTAAAACTCAGTCTTGTTGCTTCTAAGTAGTATTTTGCAGCTGGTGCTGGCAACCCTGAAAAATCCGTTACGTTTAAATCTCAAAAAAAAAAGATTATGATTGATACCTATTTCAAAAATGGAATGTAAGCTGGATTTTAAAATAAGAAAACTTTTAAATGGTTTTAATTTAAAATGTTATTTGCGTGATCGTGTTTTTACTCAAATAGAAGAAAGTTTTAATGTCTAAAAACTAATTTTAAAAGATTAAGACCAATTTTTAAGCAATATCATAATTTAGTTTGTTACACCTGATACTTGTTTTAAAGTAATAATAAAACGTAATAACAAAAAATAAAATATTTATTTTTTGTAATTATTTTGTATGTTTTAGTTAATTTTAGTTTTTAATATTTTTTATTTTTTATTAGTACGTTTTTTATTATTACTTAAAAACAAGTACCTTAACTCAGAATAGCATATTATAAGCAACAATTGCACCGCATATGAAACAGATTATTTATTTACAGGTATCATATTGTAACCTACTACCAAAACTAAAATTAAGATCTAAAGAAGATATAAGTACAAATTGAAAATAGATACATTTATTTGTTAATTCGTATTACAACTTACCGTACAGCCAAATAGGTGAACTTACCTCTACTTCTCAACCAATCACCATACAACACATAATGTTCCCAGTTACTCGGTTCCAAGTCGACCAGTCTCCTCAGAATCCTTTGTTTCTCATTCTCTGTCTTCAAGGACAGCAGTTCCACGTGAGCCTGTACGAATCTTGGCTGCAGCCATATGCATTTCTCCAGCATCGTTACAGCTTGCTGCATTCTACCACTTTTCCTAAAATGTATTATCGAGATAATTTTTTTTTTATGTAATTGGTCGGCAAACGAGCAGACGGATTACCAGATGGTAAGCAATCAGCGCCGCCCATTGACACCCGCAACGGAGGATTTACGAGTACGTTGCTGACCTTTTAGGGATTAGGGATTTGGAGATTTAGGGATTGAGGAGGGATTGGGGGCGGGGAAGGATTGGGCCTCCGGTAACCTCACTCACACGGCGAAACACAACGCTGTGGTTGTTTCACGCCGGTCTTCTGTGAAGCCGTGGTATCATTCCGGTCGAGCCGACCCATTCGTGCCGAAGCATGGCTCTCCCACACTTATTAATTTGTTAAGCAGGACTTATATATAGAGGTGAAGGACATTTTAGGATATAATATGTTTTGAGCAATTTCTACACAATTGTGTAAGTAAGAGTGATAACATTATGATTTAAAAGCAACAAAACAAAAAAATAATGCTTTTCACAAACACTGTTCATAATATTTCGTGTCTTAACGCATATCAATAGTAGTCGTAGTATGTTATTCGTATAACGACATACTCATTTAGACATACTTTGAAAATCACTCCGTCAGCTATTCAAAACCTTACAGAGTAAGCTGCTATCGCGTTTGTGTACCTATTTGTTCTTCTATTGTGTCTCGAACGACCACGATTGAAACGTTAAAGACTAGACAGTGATAACAAACGCCACGCCAAGCGTGAGAGAGACATGGTCGGCACGAATTGGCTGGCTCGACCGAAGTCATCATCATCATCATCAGCCTGTGTGTCCGTGTGTGTGCGCCCACTGCTGAGCAAAGGCCTCTTCTCACATGGAGAAGGTTAGATAGAGCATTAATCTCCACGCTTGCTCAATGCGGGTTGGCGATTTCAATCTTATAATTAGAAATTATAAGTCCAGGTTTCCTCACGATGTTAAGCTTCACCGTATGTCAGTGGTGTCTAAATAATCATAAAAAGTACATATAATTCGGAAAAAGTCACATTGGTACTTGCCAGGATTCGAACCCAACCTCATGCGAGGCGACAAGCGGGCTCCTTAACCTCCGGGCCACCACGACAATTACTACGACCGAAGTGCTGCTACGGAATCACAGAAAACCTGCCCGAAACACCGCTTTCGTCGCTTTTACCGCTTTTGTAGGCCAAATTGTTAACCAATCACCAATCCCTTAATCCTTAAAACCGCCAAAAGGTCAGTGACTCACCTCCAATTGCTAACCACCACGGGTGCCCTACGCTCGATTGTCGCCCTATCCCATAAAGAAACGGCATTACGAATTCTAGAATGTGTGTTTGTACGACTTACTTGTAAAGTTTGCCGAGGTTGTAGTGTGCATTCACGTGGTACTTATTAAACTTTATCGCTTGTAAGAAATGATGTTCAGCGTTTTCCATTCCTGACACCAGAGTGCCGATGTTGTTGTGAGCACTCGCGTAACTCGGCCATAATCTGTAACGCAAATGTGTTAAAACCGGAGAAACAAGTTACTACGGTGTATCAAAAACATTTTTAAGTTATATGAATATTTTCTCTATAAAAAATATTCACTAAGATGATATCTCACAATGAATTGTATGCTACATGTATCACTTAACCTGCACGGCTATGGTAGATGTACGCTTGTGACGTATCAGCTCAAATACAATGTTCATTCAATTGTATCAGGCTCCGTCTTTAGTTCCCCGCAATTCCTGGCCACCTATCACATGGTAAAGCTACTTCGAGGCAATCTAAGGCGATTGGCACGCAATTTGATTGCGCTCTAACAGTTGTAAGAGGCCAACATTCATTAGAGTGTACATTCGGAGCACAATCGAAACTACGCGTCTGAGATACGATGCGGTCTGTGCATTGCACTGCACGTGCTAACTGTACCTCCCCAAGCTGAAACTACGCTCCAAAATACTTGTATTATTTCAACGAAAATTTGCTTTACGTAAAGTTAGCTTTGCATCAAGCTCAACTCTCCTGTTAAATATCTCGCATACATGACGAATAGCTTAATAAACTTTCTCAACTCGACCTACAATAGTTCGCGTTAAGGCAAACGGCTTTGTTACCTCAAAGCTTCTTTGTAATGTTTGATGGCGCTGTCTTGTTGTTCTGTCTCGCGTAGAAAGTTCGCCAAGTTGTAGTGCAGTTTAGCGTTCTGCGGCAAAGTCACTAAATCCGCCCTGTAACAAACAAAACACATTTAGAGGTAATTTACGCCCGAATGCGGCGACCGTAGAGCGAATATTGCAAGACTTGTAAATCGTGGTTACCATTTTATGTCATGTTTAATACATTTCTCTTTAATGTTTTTGGAAATGAAAATTTCCTTATGAAAGTTATTAGTGTTTAGGGAAAACGATTTTTGGCACAGATTGTGTTTGTTTTGGTAATTATGGTGCCGAGGTGGGGGCTGTTAGGGATTGAAACTGACCTTATTTATGATGGAACTTCGAAAAAAGTTAGAAATCTCATTACTTATTCTTAACATAGCCTAAACATAACACATAATTGGTTGCCTGTAGTCAAATGAATACGAATCCCAACAGGTGTGACCTGCTTCAGCTAGATACGAGATTAAATAAACATTCAAAGATCTCAATTTTAATTCAGTGTACACTAATAAAGAATTCTCAAACATTCTCGAGAGTCTCTATTCAGAATCTACAAGGACTTTATAGGTTAACTTCGAATTTACCTTTGAATCTATGGGATCAATTTGAACAAAAGCCAGTACTAAAGCGTTCGGCTTTGAAGGAGTCGTTATAGAAGTTTATCTTGCACTTGGAATGCATTCAGTTTTCGGGGCCGAAAACTTTGTCTGATAACTACTGGCTACCCTATGAAGTTGGTAAAACGCGCACCTCACTTCACACGAGTACTTCAATAGAAACTATTTAAAACAGCTCCAGTTTAGAGTATAAAGATACTTCTGTGTTAAGTGTTATCCGAGCGAGTGGATGAGAAAACTGATACTACTTGATAGTCGTTGTAATATAGACTGGGGGGTTTTGTTATAATGGAATTTTAATGCGTTTTGAAGGGAAACCAGAGTTGTTAATTATAATGAAATTTAGGACTAACGTAAGACTTGCTACATTTATTGTAAATAACGACTTACTCATGTCAATTAAGTAACAAAAGCTCTAATACGAGTAGTTTCAAGCCACTACGGGACTCTTATTCATGAGCAGGGTCCGCGAGGCGACGAGATCGCGCAACTGTACAACGAACAGTAGGTTGCCAGTTTTCAGTAATTAATTATTTTTATATGGAATCTAAGAGTTTAGAATCTCACCTACTACCTATACGAATAACAAATCTACCCAATTCTAAGACCAGATTTATATAAAAATCTTAGTTGTAGTGAACATTACCGTAAAAGATAAACATAAAACCATCTCGAACTCATAACGTTCCATTGGCATTTCTATTAAATAAACCTCTTCAAGCTACGCAGACCGAACACATTTGTTCTTCTATAAACAAGTTCTAAAACTGCTTCTATAGAAAATTGAATAGACTCGTAAACCGGCAACAGAATTTAATATAACCAATATTTCATTACGGAGTATTTTATGAAGTTGCCATTTTGAAAGAGATCTGAGTTTCTAGGGATGATATCAAACGCATTCAATGAGTGGTTTGACGGGGGAATTTGTTTCGGGTTGGATTTGGTATGAGGGAAAAATGAATTTTATTACGATACATTATAAGGTGCTGGTGGGCATTTTAAATTGATTGTGTTATTTATTTTTGTAAGTCAAAACTAGTTGGATGAAAGCGATAATGCATGAAACTTTTAAGTTTTATAATATTTTCATTCGAAAAATGTTTTTTTTCTTTTTTTATTTCTATGTATTTTTTGAGTGTAAATTTTTTATTAATCATATTTAACAATATAAGAATCTGGCAGCGGGGACATCCAAGTTAAGGGTGGTTAGAGCTCAGAGGACAGAAGCCTTCTAACAATATGTATGTATGTCCGTCGTGTCAAGAAAAACTGGCTTCTTTATCAGGTAATTGATGCAACTACCTAATGCCAGTCCCTTAAAGTTGTTGTTGAAGCTTTTGGTGTTAATGATGAATTTAAATTTAAATTTTCATTTACAGAATCTTACAAATACTAAAATACTTTTTGCATTTGTAACGATATTATCAGTATAAAATTAATTAAATTTATTACGCCCTTAGTCCGAGTCTGATTTATAGGTGAATAATATTTGCTCTGTTTATATTTACCTTTATAAGTACAACCAATGAAACCTTGAAATTCAGAAACTTGTTTAACTAAATATTAATTTTGTTGAACAAGTTACAAATCATGTTTTGGATGAAATTTAATTATTACAATTTATGGACTAGTTATTTGTTTTGGTAATGTTCGAGTATTTATTATGTATTCGTATTTATATGCAGATTGATATTTTTGTGATAGGATGACAAACGAGCAATCGGATTACCTGATGGTAAGCAACTAACATTGCCCATAGACACCCGCAACACCAGAGGAGTTACGACTGTGATACTGGAGCTTTGGGAATTAGGATTTTGGAGATTTTGTGATTTGGGGAGGGGAAGAAGGATGAGGCCTACGATAACTTCATTCACACGTCGGAATACAATGCTATTGTACCTACTTACACGCCAGAAACTGATTCATTTGACGTGAGTGTAAGTTTTTTCATGTTTTAGACACATAAAAAAATCTTACTATTTAATTTAACCCAAATAATAACAAAGATTAATAAGCCCCAACATTAGTTAGTCAAAGATGAAAAAAAAGAAATAAGTTTTTTACAAAACTATCTGCAATCAAATAGTTTCGAAGTCATAACAGTAACTAAATCAAAGTAAAAGTACTACCTTTAGTATTACGGTTTCAAAATATCAATGGAAACTTTCAATGTCATTGTTAGTCAAATAACTAACAAGAAACTAACTAATGATTATGCTCAACTGTTATTGATGTCTGAAGCATCTGCTAAGGTCAAATTATTATAATGATGCTGGTCTAAGGGCGAAAGGGGTATTAAAACAATATTGGAGCTTAAGTATAAAGTTCATAATTGTCCTTTGTTAGTGGTTAATTCTACTACATAAGGGATATTTTTCCAAGTACTCGATGGATACTAAAATGGATGTGCAATGTATGTAAATTTGCATGTTTTTTTTTTATAAATACAGCCACAGCACGTAAGAAAAATCTAGTGGGGAGCAAACTTATGTGGGAATCAGCACCACCCATTGGCAAACGTTGCAAAATGGAATTTACAAGAACGTCATATGTTCATCATAAACCTAAGTACAGAGTTCTGATAGGTCAATGTTTTAATTTTAAATTTTATTTTTATTAATATAAAGTCAAAAATTGTCAAACTATGCTGTGTCAGTGCCACTTACCTTAACAAAGTAGCTCGATCTCTCCATTCTGCATTCCTCCGATGTGTTCTTGCGACTCCACTAGCAGCGAGTACTGCCAGGCCTATCGCCAGGTACACCTTCGTGCCAGGCTTCGAACACCACATCAGTTGGACTCCGTATGCTGTTATTATTACACTACCCACACTGAAAGTGAGAGTCCAGTTGAAATAATGAAAAGCAGGCCGAACCTCTCCCCCTGCACACAATCCTCAAATATCTAAGAACACATAAAAGGTTGTCAATAAGCCTGACGGGTCTAATATTCAGGTCGCCGATTGCTTACCGTCAGTTGATGCGGTCACTAGTTTATCTTATTAAAGAAAATACAATATATTTTGCTTCAATACAAAATCTAATTCATCAGTTTATATCGATAAGCCAATAATAAAAAACATTTTATTTTTGGACAACACAATAATCTATAAATTGGTACAATATTTGTGAAGTTAGCAATCAACGCAAATTTTATGTTTACATTTCAAATAATTGTACTTTCAATAATATGATGATATCAAAACCCAATTAATATTTACAACGAAACATTTTTACGAAATTACCTCACATTTTGTTAAACAAAAACAGTTCTGTGTTTACTAGTTGGAACTCCAACAGAACGTACATATATAAATATAGTTACGTTGATTCATAAACAAAATATCTATTGAAAACTCGAACTTAAATTGGAACAAAACTAATCAAATAGTAATACTGTTGGAGGGGAATAATGAAATATTTACCTTGGTATATAAAGGACTCTCTCGGCAATTACAAATCCCACTGTTACTAGTAAATTGCTTGCAGGCACAAAGGGTAGGACCATTAGAAGGACACCGATCACTGCGGGCGTATGCTTCTGTACCTATCAACACAAAAAAATTCAAAATAAGACCGTTTGGCATTTTATTTATAAAAAAATATCTATCATGTCTGATAAAAAATAAAGAATTCTTTTAAATTATTATGCTGAGTCAGCGTTTGTCAAAATTGTTCAGTAATGAAGTTGACTTGTTTTTTTTTAATCTGGCTTTAGATGAAAATGGACCACTATAGCTATATACGTCAAGTTCAGCGCAAAGCAAAACAACCAACAAGACTTAGAAAAGATTTAAAATTAATTTGTGTATAGATTCGTTTTTCAAGAAATTGAGCTTACCTCTAAATTACTCTAAATTACTCTTACCTCTAAATCGGCAATAAACCGATAGCACAATACTAGTAGTGCCCCAAAAGCGGCACAGGTGAGCAAGTTCCTAGGATCCCAACCACTGGTGATCAGTGGAACTGACCCCATCTGCCAGTCGTGGCTGAGCGTCCACGGACATAGGAGCAACCACCAGTTGAATGCCGCCAAGTAGCAAAATGTCATCAATCTAAAAATAATAAAATTCTTGTAATAACGTTTGCATTGACGTGTGGGAGAGCCATGCTTCGGCACGAATGGGTCGGCTCGACCGGAGTGATACTACGGCCTTACAGAAAACCAGCGTGAAAACACCACATCGTTGTGTTTCGCCATGTGAATGAGGTTACCGGAGGCCCAATCCTTCCCCTATCTCAATTCCGAACCGGCGTGAAACAATGCTTGCGTCGGGTTTCGCTATGTGAATGAGGTTACTGGAGTCCCAATTCTTTGAGGCCGTAGTATCACTCCGGTTGAGCCAGCCCATTCGCGCTGGAGCATGGCACTCCCACTCTTAAGCCCTTGAGAAACGTTGCTTTAATGTTTGTTATGTGGCTTTTTATTGGAATTATTTGTTACTTTAATCCTTACTCTTCATCCTTACCCGGTAAGGCTGTCAACGCGCTTGTAACTTCTCGATGTTGACAAAGTCTATATGAGCAGCGTTGATTGCTTACCAATCCCAGGGTGACCAGTCTACGAACCATTGGCAGCAAACGAGTAAGTCAAAGAAACAAAAAACATTATCAAAAGCCCAAAAATACCTGACAAAAAAACTTGGATGAAAGGCAGCTGGGTTATCTTGTGGTGAGAATGAGGGCCACGTCCCTTGTAACAGTGCCAGCCTCAAACAGACCAACAAGGCTAAAGACACTACCACTTTTATTGTCCTTAGTGATAGCCCTGTACATTTCTTCTCGATTTTTAATGAACATATTGATCTGAAATAAAAATAATTTCTTAGTGAAGGAATGGAGATTTTTAATATAAGATTACAATTTTTGAATTTGTTGAAAATAACGTAAAAAAAACTGAGAAATGCTCTACTAGTTTCAAGTGACAGCGGGAATCTTATTTATGAACAGCGTGCGCAGCGTGTAAGTCATTTTATTCAATTATAAAATATCTTACAATACGTTACTAATGTTATAAATTGAATAGAAGGAAAGACTGAATATTTTCGTTTCGATCTTTTGAGTAGAGTTAGGAAACATTTTCGAGAACGCCATTTTTTATAATTATACTACTAGTTCTGTTGACTTAAAATATAATCTACAACATTATTAAATATAACGAAGTAATGTCATATTAAAAATCTTGTTCAAATAAAAGAATGTCTCTGCATGTAATATTTGTTCGCCTTTCATAATGCTAGTAGTTTAGTTACAGAATAAAAATCTCGGCGAACTCTCCAACAAATGAGAAGCAAATAAAAGCTACAAGTGTCCGACAAGTAGTATGAACTAGAAGGTCGCGGGTTCATTACGAAGCTCGTTGAAACATTGTAGGGCACCCAGTTCTAACCGATGCATATTTTGCTGAACAAAAAAATTGTTTGAAACTAGGTCCAATTAGCATTACGTTTTTATATTTTCTGTTGCCTCAACTCCACTAATTACGTTTTATCTAGACCTATCTAGATCAACTTGATGCTTTTACAAATGAAACTCGTTGTTAATGTAGCCTTTTTTAAAAATGAAACATAAATAGCCTCAATTTATCTTCCTTTTACAATGGAAGACATCGTCAAGATAAAACAGATTTTCCAAAACATAAACTCAAGTCCATCAAGGTAAAGAATTTCATAAGAGATTAAAATCTATTACAATACCTTTTAACAAACGGCCAACATCTATAAAAGTCGAAGGCTAGATTGAGTATAAATATCATGATCCCCGTTTCTTTGGCCAGCATACTGAGAGCTCCGAGCACGACGCTGAGCCACACACACTTCTTGTTGCTCGGAGGCCTAAAAGACATGGACAATGTTTTATATGGTATATTTATTGGGATAGGACTTTGAAGGGAGTGTAGCGGAAATGAGGAGGTTGATTATATTTTCTCTTATGTTTCAATTTGGATGTTTACACAGAATTAAGTTAATAGCGTATCTACGTAAGATGGTTTTAATAGAACGTGTGGAAATACATCAAACATTAATTATTCCTAATGTAAATTATACTCTATATAAATGAACACTTCTAAATTTAAATAATTAAAACGAACTAAGTCACATAGAGCTTGTTGCAATGTTTTCGGTGCATGGTTTCGGCTCCACTCATGAAAATATAACAAATGCTTCACTATTATCTTGGAATTAAGCGAATGGTTTTCGATTACAAAATAAAATAACATTTAAGAAGATTTGCTTGTCACGACATACACGAAACACTCAATTGAAATACATTCACAAAGTATTTGCAAAATAAATCTTAAACTAATATTTAAAAGTCTATAATACACTTAATGTGAAACGAAGCTCTCTTTATTTTTATTACAATTTAAATAAAAATGTGATGAAATGGAATGGTAATGCATTTATAATGGTCTAAATTGCATTGTAAATAAAATAAAATTATATGGATCAAAGTAACTTTGTCTGCAATATTATATTCTTTATGTAACTTATTTGTTAGATTGGAAGTTGACCCTCTGACTAATCGATGTTTAAAAGCACGTTGCCAGTATTAAAATGCACAAACTAGAATTGTAACTGCGTATATTTTATTACAGTAATACTTAATAGTTACTAGAAAATGAAGTGACAGTAATATAAGTCTTTGCCACTTAACAGACGAGCGACCTCAATGATTGCTCCTTTATTTTGTGTGTTTTAAAACGTTGAGTTACCCTTGAATCTGTTAGTTCTTTGGTATTGTGAGTACGTCTAGAAATATATAATTTTACATTCACATTGAACTAACACAGGGAGCCACAATTCGTGGATCCCACAAAAAGTTGTATCGCGTGGGAGTTAATCAAAGTTTGCGTGGCCGCCACCGTATCAACTATGCAGTCTGAATTCTTTAATTAATCAATACATCTATGTATTTCGTAATTAACAATTTTTACTGATTTGGGCATATTTCTATGCTTACATTTGCATGTCTATACATAACTAGGATTAAAGAAGCACTATGAATTTACTTACCTATGATAAACGAGAAGCGATGATAAAAAAAATATACAAGCTAACACATCAGCTCTGCCTACTACTCCAGCTACCTGCCGACAATAGAAACATATTTTAACTATACATACAGATAAAATACCTAATATTTTAAACATAACTTTATATTGAGCCCTGGTATCACTCCGGTCGGCTTGACCGGAGTGATACCACGGCCTCACAGAAAACCTGCGTAAATCAACCAAAGTGTGGTTTTTCACCGTGTGAGTGAGTTTACCGGAGGCTAAATCCTTCCCCTACCCCAATCCCTAAATCTCCAAATCCCCAAAAGGTCGGCAACGCACTCGTAACTTCTCTGTTGTTGTAGGTATCCATGGGCGGCGCTGATTGCTTACCATTAAGTAATCCGGGGGCTAGTTCACCGATATATCACATAAAAAAATGTGAGTTCATAATTTCATAATTATAAATATCTATTTCTTTTAAAAGGGGTCTATATCATCAAAATGACTTCTCCCACTCTTGATGGGGCGAAAAGGAGTTTCAGACTCTTATTGACTAAAACCACCCAGTTCCCTTTCATACTCCAGGTTCGGGTCACGGTACACTATTGGATTTGATTCAACAGTTGGTTTACTGTAGGTGTCAGTATCATGATCAAGTAACTATGTCATACAGTCATGAAACAATATATTAACTATGTAATATGTATGGTAATCTTACAATAATAACTACAAGTTTCGAAATTGAAATAGCAAAAAGTTTTATTATGTTTTCCACCTTATTGTTCATAGATTTTTCGTGTGAGAAGAGACACCAGCCTATAACCGCCCACTTATTTATTATTTTATTGATAAAATAAATACATAGGTAGTTTTACGACATAAAAAATGACCCAAAAAACTATAGAATTACTAAATATTTTCTAAAATAATATTGTGATGTTTTTTTAATGTGTTCATCATTAAATTTGTTTTCTAATGGCGTATTTAAAAATAAAATAATCAAATGAAGTGCCATACCGACTGGTAGTCTAATAAGACTTTTGTTATATAAATTCATCTATATCTGATTCTATATGTACTGTGTATAAAAATAAGTCTCCGTACTAACCCGGTATAACCTTATTTCGTTTTCTTTTTTCGGCTTTGACATTTACCTTTGACGAAAGTTCCAAGTCATTGACCTTTGTAATTTTCATAAAATTCTGCTAAATTTGTTTATCACAGGATTTAGAAGTTAATTATAGGTATATAGATAAGCTCGATATTGTTAGCCGTGTGTTTTTCCATTGTTAAGACTCTTAATAAGAATGGGCGTCTACGTCAATATCCTTTTTAGATACCAAAATAAATATTCGACAAAGAATCTAAAGAAAGAATTTAAAAATTTGCTCACAATCATTCTTGCCAATATTTTTTAAGTTAATAAGTAGTTTGTTGATAAACTGTTGATTCCTTTTGTTGTTCGTTTCTTAGTAACATCACGTGAAAAGTTGAATAAGACAATAACTAAATCCTAAAGGACAATAAAATAATTAGATTAACGTGTATCACTCTTAGTATAAAACAAAGTCGCATCCTCTGTTCATACTCGTATATCCCTAAATATGTTTAAATCTTCAAAACTACGTAACGGATTTTGATGCTGTGTCGTACTAATAGACACGGTGATTAAAAGGATGATTTTTATGTATAATAACATCCTTTAACATTAGTGGTTGTGTTTTGCCGTGTGAGTGAGGTTATCGAAGCCCAATCATTGCCCCTTCCCTCATTCCTTCCCAATACTTAAATATCTGAAACCTTAATCCCTAAAAGGCTGTCAACGAACTGGGCGACGACGATTGCTTACCATCGTCTGCTCGTTTGCCTTTCTATACCAAGTGGCTAGAAAAGAAATAATAAAATGTCTACTCACCGCCTCAGTATGCACAGGATGCACTGCAAATAGCAATGCAGCCAATGCAGCGAATGGTCGCTGTAGTCGCGCAATTGTGACGCAAGCTCGCGCTACTAACGCGCAACATGCAGCGTGTAGCGCAATGTTACACGCGTGCCACCACCATGGCCTAAGCCCTGCCAGGGCGTGGTTTAATCTGTAACAAAAGAAAAACAAATTCTTTCAAAAATAATTTTATAATTTATTTATTTTATTTACATATTTATCATCGCGTTTTGTCTCCTTTTGGTGTGGGCACAATTGAATATCAAATAAATTACAATTTTCGTTATATTATTTATCAATTTATAAGTCAAGAAGGTTATCGATTTGAATTTGAAGATTTGAACCATAGACACCTGCAACACCAGAAAGCTTGCAAGTGCGTTGCCAGTCTTTAAAGGGTTTTGAGGGTTTAGCGATTGGGGTAAGGGAAAAGATTAAGACTTCGGTAACCTCATTCACTCAGTTAAACATAACGCTTCTTTGATACCGTTTTCTGTGAAGTCATTATCAGTCCGATTGAGTCAGCCCATTCGTGCCGAATAGCTTTTTCACACTTTAAGATTTATATAATTTTCTCAAAAAACTTTAATTATGAAACTTGGCCAAAATTTCGTGACTCATTATTTAAAACAAAAGACAATTCAGCATAAATAACAAAATGACCCAAATAAAAACTAAAGCCAGCTATTAGAAGGAAACTTGTTTAGAATTCTATTCAATAATTAAGTGTGCAGAACCCACGGGTCTTAGTTTTATGATTAATGGCCCTTGTTTGTTTGTTCTAAAAGCCGCGGTTATTCTCAACTCGTTAATTTAACTTTAACTTCGCCTTAGTTGACGAAAGCCTGCGAATCAATTGTGGCACCTTTACAAAAGGGTGACTGAAAAATTGAAAGGAAATGCTGAAAAAGGTAAGAGAAATTTTTATTACGAAGAATAAAGTATCAGACGTAGAAGGAGAACCAATATCATCACAATATAGTGATCGAATTCTACACCAACTGATAAGATGATAAGGAGGTTTTTCATATGATTGACGATTGAATAATAAAACTATCAAAAAAAAAAACCGAAAATATATAGACAATACCTAACATTCCTGGCCATTACATTTTCTGTCATTTGCGTACGTTTTCGAAAACAATACGGCTAGGCTTTGTACACAAAACTCCGTAGAGAAGCCAATCAATGAAAAACACCAACTCATCCAATTTCCAACAAAAAGAAAACAAAACGGAACGAAGCTGACCAATTTTATATCCGACCATTTTGGGCATAGGGATATGAAACTGATACGTCTTCGAAAAAAGTAGCTTGATGGTCTTCCAACTGATAGGAATGTTATTTTTATTGCCATCACGATACAATACAATCAACTTTTATTGCTTTAGATTATGGAGTAATCGTAATGTGGAACAATTACGTAACGCAACTGGTGACATAAAGATTCGTATCGTGCGAGCGTATATTTTTTGTTGTTGTTTGGAATAACCGAGGGTTTTTTATCACATCTGCCTTATACCTTATTGTTATGGTTTTGTATGTTGTGATAAAGTTAAATGGTTGACCATTATTACTTAATGTTACTTTAAAGAAAAATCTAGATTAAGTAGGGCTCTCTAGATTTTTCTCTGGTGTCATGAGTAACATATACACAACATTTTGTAGATCACACAACGTGTTGTTCCATGCAGGCATAAAATCTGTGACATATTGCACTGCCACTGGTCAACTGACGTCGGCCACCGGTCAACTCATGTCGAGAGTACACTACAGTACAAGTATTGTTAGAAAAAGACCTTGCACAACATTGGCTAACACAAATCACAGGGGAACCGAAATCAAAAATTATGTTGGAAGTAGCAAACCTTATTACTGCAACATAGTTACCATACTCGTATCACTGCTTTATAATATACAGCAGCGAGAGACACACGAATATATACATAATTAAGTTCTCTCCCCTACTTCCCGGATGTAAGCTCAATACCAGTACAACGGTGCGTTACTTATGCACGTCCATAATTCGCCGTAAGTAAACTACGTGGCGGAACCTTTTTCCCTACAATTTACTCTGAGACGTGCGGCCCTTATAAAATGGGGAAAATATACCTTTCTGCTATGCCAACACGTCTATGGAAGATAAACGAGCCTTTTTTTAGATGCAGTTCACCTTCGTAGAATAGGTTTAAAAGGTTATACTTGTTATATTTTTTCTTAAAACATCAAGTTTTTTTTGAAGGGCAAAATTATCGTGAGACGTAAAAAAATATATTTTTGCAAAGTAGGCCATAAAACAGACTTTATACACATCAACATTATATATAAAAAATCTAGATGAAACCGAATCAAGTGCCTTGTTACAGACTAAAAACCACCCGGTTCCTCCTCTTGCTGTAGGCCAGGATCCCGGTACATTATTGCGCTCGCACTAGCAATTTCACAATAAGTTTTGTTTTTCTGGAATCCATGATATTGACTACGTCGTAGTAAGTACTACGCCGTAGCATTACTACGACGTAGCAAATAACACCATTCTGTCTGATAAGTAATAATAATTACTTATCAGACTTTATTACTAGCTTCTGAAACATAACATAGTAAGGTTATTAGTAATACATTAGAATAACAATATTTGTTTGTTTAATTAGTCCTTGGGGCTTTCTGATAGGTGTTATTATAACTAGCTGTACTAATAATCACCTTCTAATAATGGTTCATAATAATTATTAACAAGCCGTTTAGTGTCCATACAAAACCTCGTTCCTTAGTGTATATATTATGTTATTATAGTTCTGTTTGTTACATGCTTGCTCAATAATAATCAAAACACTTCACTCTATCATTCCCGATAAAAACAAAAGCGAATCCATACATTCAGCTTTTATATTTATATAGAAAAGTAATTAATTTTATGGTTGATAAATATCAAGAGGGCTCTCCGTTGCAGGTGAGTGTCATTGTGTAGTCTCATATTAAAATATTTGGCCTATACCGGTGATTTAATTAATTTACCTATTAATCATATTATCCTTGAACTCTACTCGACTTTAGGTTTGAGTAGAATGTTTACAAACGAAAATTGAACGTATGCAGAATCAATCAGATGTATTCAATTATACCCAATATCACTGTAAATTTGTTCAATGTGATTATGTATATGGATAGTCCTCTGTCTACAAGACCAGTGTCATGAGGTTGTCAACCAAAGTAAAGAGACGATCTGTCTTACTGAGAGACGTTTAATTCTTACTTTAAACAGTGTTTATTAGTAATTGTTTTGGAACATAACTGAGAAATAGTTTAAGTAATCATGATAATAATTATGTATCACAGAACAAAAGGTAGAAAAGGATGGAAGTAAACGTTTTGCTCTACTTATTTCTATCCTTTCCAGGATTAAGTGCATTACACCAATGAATATTTTGAGTTTTTATGTGATTTTGTGTACTTACAAAGTAAAACTTTTCATCATTGTCATCAGTTTAGTGATTGCTGTCTAATATAGGCCAGTGTGACTGTTTCTAGCTGACCCTAAGTTAAACAAAATTTTCGTTTTTCCTAAATCAAGGAAGGGATGATATTCGGCTTACCCTTTCTAGGGAAATGGGCAAGGGACTGAGCTCCGCCATCCGCCCAGTCCTGTAGAGCTCGTCCTGTTGCTGGTCACTCTCCCACCGTTTACAGGATTATGAATTCCCAATAAATAACATAATTTATTTTATAGGTTTAATTATGGTATTTATATTATTTCAAACGCAAGTGCAAAGGGAATTAGAGAATTCATTAGGAAGGGATGTATTCTAATCACTTTACATTTAGTAATAAAATAAGAGGGCAACAAAAGGTAAGGGTAGGCAGTGCACTCACAGGAGCGCACTCCGGATATTCAATAGAATAATACAAACAATTGTTGGTCTTGCATATATGTACCTCCTTAACCCAACCCCATTTCTAATCTTGTGCCTCGCCCACCATAATATTTCGTCGAAGAGTTTAGAGATAGCCACCACAGCTTTGATAGGTTTTGGCGAGACACTCACGTTCATCCTACTGTCCGTTTCGGACCAGCCTAAGAAATGCTTGTCAGCAATCCCCAGGAGTATACGTACAACAAGAAGTACAATGGAAAGTATTATTCCTGTTCAATCAATTAACAGGAATCAAGATAGGGATAGGATAAAAACCCTAGCCTATTAATAAAGCCACATTCACATACCCGTTCACCGCACTCACACTGCCCTTCTTCCACACTTCACACTCCACTCACTTTATATTACTGGATCCTAAGGACCAATCTTAGCCTATCTAAGACAACCTCCCGTCTCCGCAGTTCCAGAGTAAGTAACCTATCGCCTTCATCACATCTCTAACATCTCCTCGCCAGAGCCCTTTTCCCAGGCCCTTGCATTTGGGGTTTTATGACACTTTTTGTGCAATATCTTAATTGTTTCTCTGGACCTTTCACGGGTCAGTGTTATTGCAACCAGATGTGACGTTTCGTATTGTATTGGGCACCCAACGGTGCCACTTAGTCTTAAGATCCTTTAACAAGTTGCAACTCAATTGCCTGTCAGTAATTATCCGTAGTATGGATCCCATAAAGTATAAGATGAATGGCCTAACATGTGGCTCATTGAAAAGTTGATACTTTCAAATATTGGGATACTTTTGTTTATATTTTTAGGGGTACCTGACGGACAGTCACACCAGGTTTCGTGTCCTGCATCCATATGCATGAAAATTGGTATCTTTAACCTCTGAAGCGCCATGACACTTCTTCTGCTTTAAATGTTTATAATAATTTACAACCACAAAACTCGTAAAACTGTAACAAATCAATTTCTTGTTTTAAAGGATGTTTATTGCCTGTTTAGTCAGTTTTGCAAGTAACTGCCAGCCTAATGTCTATATGCAAATTAATACTTTGCAAACTAAAGAAAACTCGTTGACATACCATAATAACAAGAAACATATCGTGGTAGCTATTTTTTTTCCAAATGACAACGATGTAATACGTACCTCCTCTTTGTTCAGTTTTTTTTAGCAATAATTATATTGGAAGCAGCAGAACTCTCCGATAAAGCTTTTACACTGCGTTTTTCCACACAGAAATTACGGAAAACAGTTTTATATATAGTAAGGCCATAGGGTTTTTTTTTTTTTGTGAGGGGAAAATCATCATATGACTTCTCCCGCCCAGGGCCGGGCAGGAGGGAGTGTCAGACTCTTACTGACTAAAAACCCCCCTGTTCCTTCTCCTGCTCTGTGCCGAGGTCGCGGTACCTCATTGCGCTTACCCCGCAACCCCGGCTGAACATCAGCCCTTTAGGGCCCAGTCTGTGGTGGTCTATAGGCTCTTTGAGGCGCGCGCGGAACGCTACGCGCCGTACGCTCGGGCCTGGTTCTGGTCGGGCGGCGAGCTGCCCTTACTCGCCGACCGCAGGCCCGTACTTACGGTGGCCGGAGATCGTCCCTCGATCCCCGACGCCCGTAGTGTCGCCAGTTGCGGCTGCTGGGGCGTGAGGAGGAGGATTGCTCCCTCACGCGGGCCGCCTCTCTCTTTGCGAGCATGACTGCTTCACAAAAGGAGGAGACGGCGTCCCAGTTCCTCTCACTCCGCACCATGGCCTCGACTAAGGCCGGGCGCGAGAGGTCGCCGCCGCCGATCACTTCCCTGAGGATACGGCGGTGCTCAGCTCAGGCAGGGCATACCGCTACCGTATGCTCCACCGTATCCTCTAGGTGGTCCTCACAATGACGACACTCGGGCGTTTCCTCCCGCTGAATCCGAAACAGGAACCTACCGAAGCTGCCGTGCCCGGTAAGCACCTGCGTCAGACGGAAGGTGAGGACGCCGTGGCGTCTCTCAAGCCACTCCTCAAAGAGGGGTCTTACCGCTGTTATGGTAGCGTGCCCGGCCCTCGGTTGCGACAGTCGTTGTTTCCACTCTGCCATGAGATCTCGCCGGAGCTCATTCCGCCACGCACTAATTTGGCGCGGCAGAGGATCTTCGCCCCGGCGACGCGCGTCTGCGCGCAAACTGTAGACGCGCGCGAGCGCCTTCGCTTCTAGATCCCACGGCGGTGATCCGGCAAGGAGGTTCGCCGCCTCCCCGGAGATCGTGCGATACCCGCGGATTACTCGAATAGCCATGACCCTCTGTGACGCGACCAGCGTACGAGCCGGCCGCCGCTTCAAGGCCGGCGCCCACACAGGGGCACCGTAGAGGGCCATGGATCGCACAATCCCCATATACAACCTCCGGCAGGAGGCGTTTGGCCCCCCGAGGTTGGGAAGGAGCCGCTTGAGCGCGGCCCCAGACCGTTCTAACTTAGGGGCCAGACGACGAAAATGCTCCGTGAAGTTCCATCGGCTGTCGAGGACGAGACCCAGGTACTTCATCGCCGACTCGACGCCGATGGTAACTCCTCCTGCCGTTATTTGGGACCCACCTGGAAAGGCCATAGGGTAACCGTATACAAAAGTTATTGATATAAATCAATAAAGCAGCGAGCATATCTAAGTTAAATTATTTATATTTTCTCTAGATTAAGTCGTGAAAATTGGGAGATTATAAATAAACTAGACCAACTATAAATGTAATATATAAGTATTATATAATATACATACATATAAGACAGATATACATTCAAAAAAAATTAAATATTCTCGACCAAAGACAAAAGACAGTAGTAAAGAAGAAAAAATATGTGGAGCTCAAAAAACGTTTCAAAGAGACTCAGCTATAGGATTGTAGATAATAATCTGAAAGTCTGAAGGTCTTTGAAAAGCCTGTCATACTCAAATCTTTGTTTCTTTTTCTCTATGTTAGCGGCCTACTTCCGAAGTCAGTCCTTAACAAGGACTGTTAGCAGTCTCAAAGAATTGCCTCGTCATTTTTGTGTCATAAGTCGGTGTATTGTCACGTGCGACAATATGCAGCGTTTGCCTTTTAAGTACTTATAGTATTGTCTTTCTAGCTTATTTTCTCTCAATAGCAATCACAATTTTATAACATACTTTTTAGAGTAATAGTTCTAAAAGAAATAAAGACTTCATTACGACAAAGACAGTAGAATTACTTTTTTAGGAAACATAATATATAATCACCAATCAGCACGTTTTCATCCGATTGTTACCAGGCATAGGTAGCTCCAATACCACTAAGCTAAACAAAAGTAATGTTCTATTAATATTCATGTTACACAAATTATTACATAAAATAATATCGACATAACTCTCTACCTCCTTTTCATTAAACCTCACTTTTACTTCAATTCACATTAAAAAATACAGTCACTTCCAAAACGGAAAATATCGGATCTTGTAACTTATTGCTGACGAGATTCCAGACACGCTTCAGTTCAACCATATTGGCAAGACTGAGGGTTGAAGTGACCACAACTTTTATTGCGTTGCCAATATTCAAAGAGCGAACGACTGGCAAATGCGAAGAGATCGAGTGTCACAAGAGCTCGATACTTGAACATTTAATGAACTTGCTGCTCGACTTTTAAATATTGCTGATTTTACTCAGGTATCGTGAAATATTTTAAAATCGCAACAAATTCTATGCTACTTAAATTGTGGAACTGAAGTGATTGAAATAGTAAAATTATGGAGTTTCTTAGTGACATCTTTTGGAAAAATATTTTTGGTACGAGCAAATGGAAAGTATACTTTTTCCTGTTGTTTTAGTTTGTCACACAGTGTCAAATTTTTCCTTCCTTTCGAAGGACTGCAGGAAGAGATTCCATATAGAATATGCAGTACCTGTGTACCTCTGTTTCTGTATTTATTTTCTATTAACTGTATGTGTGATGTGCATAGTAAATAAATAAATAGTTTGACTATAAGACGTACATATTCGTTATTTTTTACAGTCTCAATAAATTTAAAGAGAGGATAAAAATAAAAATAGTAAGAACCTTATCCTGTTCAAAGTCTTCATCAAAAAATCACGATTAATTCCTTACACTTCTCAAAATCACCGCAATTCAACAGCATTCAAGTTCTTGAAAGTTTAATAGACGGCAAAGGTTTGCGTGATGCTCGAGGTATTAATATTTCCTATTCGCTGACACCGAGCTAGCTCACTCTTTCATTGCGCCAAGCAATTAAGTTGGTTCGTTCAAAATTTACGAACGTTGTACTGCGTTGCGCCAAAATTACTTTAAGTCGTGTGATCTCAGTTTGTTACTTAAAATCTTATATATATGAATGTGTATGTGGGTGGAAATTGGTTGAATCTGTGCTGAAATTCCTGAGTAAGAAAATACGGAGATTTTCTATTTTGGTTTCGGATAAGGTTTGTAGTTTAACAGTCCTATTTTTAGCAAAAGATGCTCGTTATTTTTATCAATTATGTTTTAGTTCCTTATTTATATGTTAGTATTATAATATTGTATAAAATGACATAAATGCGAAACAAACACAGTTTTCTAATTATGTATTGTTGTAGTGTTTATGTCTAGTGCTATGAAAATCAGTTAAAAATAATTACTAATCAGTCTTAATATTTTAACAATATAGTATGTACATACGTTACACCACTCTTCTGAAATTCCAAGCTATATTTTACTTTTATTTAAACATCGATCACTAGTGTTTTTTACTGTATCTCTGGTGTGTTTACAAATATACAAATTCACATACATAAGCCAACCAGACCAGGAACAACAATTGCTAGATGACACCAGCAGTCGTTCGGTACAAATCGGAGACATTGAATCAGTGACACGTTGCAGCCAATTTCCATTAACATAAAAGACTTAACACAATTTAATCTATTTTTTCCTCATTCAGTCATCATCCTCTTAGAGGCATCAGGATAAAATCTAATGAAAACGTGCTATCAGGTTAACGCGATAAAATCGAGCTCCAACATCTCAAACAAAGTAAAAACAAAAAGTGAACAGCAATATTCTAGCAATTTAAAAGCGGCTAATAGAAAGGTATCCATTCTAGATACCAACAGGAACGTTAGGGTAACGAAGCGGCCCTTGATTGCTTTTTAATAGGTACTGCTATCCTAGTACGGGACTCCGGGCCGATAGGTGGCCTTACTCGTTTTTTGATACGTGATCTCCTGTTTCTATTACATTTTAGCGAGCTGTACGCGTCTAGATTTATGAACAATTCAAAATTGAATAAGGAATGATTTGTTTTCCATCGCAACAGTCGTTTGAAGAGCGATTGTCATTCTTTTTATACATCAATTTTGGATTGCTATTTGTTATTGCTCAATTTTAGAATGGAAAAAATGAACCATACAGACTAACTCAATAGATGAAACAGTATTCAATACTGCATATACTGTACTGAAATATTTTAAATTGTAGGCCCTTATTAGCTTCGGGTTACCAATTCTTTCAAATAATACTGCAGTAATCCGAACATACATGGAATACATAACCGCAATTCACACCGGCTTCTGGGTTCGCCGTCGTTTTTCTCCGACGTCACACGATGCCCGTTTTTACGTACAATTAATTGCCTGTTCCTGTCACGTCCATATTTTTGTATTGTAATTTTATTCTGTTAAATTTGTAGCAGCTTACTTTGTGCCCACTATTACTAGATTCAACATCATCATAGATAGAACATTTGCATTAAAATTATACTTCGTTGGACTCGAATAATTTTGGTTAATAAACACCGCAAACAAAGCGAGAGTTCATAAACTTCTCCTAAGTTTATTCTCCAATATTTGAAGTCATTTTACTAGCTTTGGTATTGACAGCAATAATATCAGAGACAAACAAACAAATAATCGATATCGCTTACACAGCAGGTCGAAGTGACGTACCACTCTGATTTTAATTACATCAGTGTCAAATAAAGCGAGCAATTAATTAATTACAAGCGATCCATTAACGAAAATCAACAACGGCTAACAAAAACCGCAAATCAGAGGACATTAAGTACTCTAAAATATGAAATGATGTTCAGTGAAATCGGACAAAAACTTAATTTTGCCAAAACGATTATGGTGGACCACGGAACACCATTCCATTACCACCCCGACGACCAGCGTACAACATGGATACCACAAAGAGGTATAAACAAAACAGTTTAAATGCCTGTGTCATTATAAAACATTTAGCGGCACGGAATATTACAATTTCAACGGAAATGATGCGCAACTTACACATTCATGTGGAATCATGCTATTATTTGTCTGTTTCGAAGTTCGATGTATTTGATTTACATAATAATGTATGGCGGCACTTAATTAGAGATATGAAAATGCGATGTATGAATAAAATATTGTAAAATGTACTGGTCTAACGCAAGCCCATGCAATTCTGAGTTACACTTATAAAAAAAACAGTAAAGTAAATGCTCTAAGGTAGCCCACTGGTAAATTTGTTACAATGTAAAGTTTTAATAAAAACTTCGTCATATATGTATCTTTTTTCATTCATTCATAAATTCTTCGTGTTTTGCTGCTGTACTATTCGATATGCTGTACATTTATTAAAGCATCTCTTTTAAACAAGCCACCTAGAAATTCCTATTTTTACAATTTCACGCTAACTGAACTTGTTCACAATTTCAAGGAACTGAGTGAGCTTTGTGAATTTTCAAGTCACCATAAGTATAATGCATTTCGATTACGACATCATAATGTACAAAAAAATGTAAACTGAACACTATTCCTAGATTTTATGATGTCACATTATCTGTTTTACCCATAAAACGCATTGAGTTCCGCCCAACCTTCCTTAATCGTCAATGTCTACCATTTCGTCGTTCACTACAAAGATATAGCTGACAGTCGCATCTATAAGTCGGCTGAATATTGCTCACAATAAAACGCCCGGCCACTCGAACTCGGGCCTCAATAGCGAATCGCGATAGATTGGGACTTGACAATTATAATGGCGGAGGCGGAGAATTTTTAAGAGTTAGCAATATTTAACATTTGAAAAGGTTTCGCTACGTCTTTTTTTAGCTGATGGAAGATTTTTGTTGCGAGGACCAAATTGAAAAACGCTGTCTTCCTTTTGTATTTATAGATATTTTTGTTTGTGAGGGTTTCAGCTAAGAAGTTTTATTACTTTAATAGAATATAATAGTGCACATTTCCTTATGAAATGCTTGTTTGATAAAAATCGTGACATAAGACTTACGCATTAAGGTAAATTTTGCAAAACTTAGTTTTCCAGAGATTCCTAAAAAGTCTAGGAAAAGAAGAACAAGTAAACTCAGATTTTATCGTGTAAGTTTACTAGACAGTGATAACTTTAACTCTTCATGGCTCACTTTTGCATAAAGCTAGAAGTTTTGTTTGTGCCTTAGGGATCAAGAATGTCAAGACACACGTGAGTAGTTTATTTATATGACATTCGTGTGACAGAGAAATATAGTATTAAGTATAATGTAACGTTCTGGGGATTTCAAATACTTGATATTTATAAACTTTAAACACTTTTGAGATAGAGATTGTATCTGACGATGTTATCGTGCAACGGGTAGGTATCTATGAAACTGGGTGACAGTTGATGGAAATTTATAAAATTTTATTTTAGTAAACCTAAATGAGGTCTATTTCTAGAATCTTCTTAGCTATAAAACGAAGACATAGTCCTATCATAAATATCAAATGGACTGTAAGACGATTTGATATAATAATAACTATCTGATATTATAATACTATTAAATAAAGCATACTACACTTTAATAAAAAGTGAAATACACATTTCTGAATATCACTTTGAGTAAAAAGTCGCTTTTATCGCTTCAATGCCTTTTTCAGTTTCCTGAAAAACATATTATTGCACAATATCTTACAGTTCCGTTTCTACCAGCAGGGTCTAGGACAGCGGTCATGTTTATGGTGATCTTAAGACGGTCCCGTCTTATAAAATAGCTGAAGTACGGTATTCATGTCTTCGGACGCGAAACTGATGGGTGGGCGGGACAGGATGACCATCGAAACTATTTGGATACTCCTTGCATGTTTGTTTTCTTCAAGGAAAAATAGGTTGTCCGTGATCAGTGATTTAATATTATGTTGGTTGTTTTTTCATGTTTTGCCACAACTATTTTGCCGATGACGTTGATCTTTTCGTTCAAAAACAAAAACTTCAAAAACATGTGTATTTTCCTGTGTTTGTAATGGCATTAATTCCATTACAAACACAGGAAAATACACATGTTTTTGAAGTTAATTTCTACATTTCTAAAATTATTACATATAGCTCTGAAAATTACAACTTTAACCAGAGGTGTGTATCCAGTACTTGCAAGTATATATGTATATAGTAGCAAATAACGTAATATACATATTTGTGTATTTTTCTTTCATTTCGCTAAACAAAGTTTTCGTATAATTTACATAGATAAACCAGTTTGTTGTTTTACACAAAGCCTGTAAGTTGAAATATCCTAGCACAAAGTAACTTTAAATTCCTTCAGTGGGATAACAATGTAAAGTAGATACACTGTACTATCTATAAAATCGATAAAGTCTACAGTTTACGCAACAATCTCCCCCGGCCGGTTGTCATCGCTGATTGCTTTTTCAATTAAATTTCTGAACGCGATACATCGATGGTAACAATCGGTGTTAGGCCAAATTGGATAGCAAACCTCATCGGTTTTGAGATTCCATTCCCTATATTTATAACTTTATAAGAATTTACTGAAATTTAAGATGTTTTGCTTTAGGAAAATTACTGCCGATGTATGAGTTAACTATTTATTTGTAAATAACTTCATATGTATTGTAGTAACATATTTATATTCGTATTTTAGATGTTAACAATCTTTTTTTTTGTGTGAAAATTATCGATTTACTTCTTTCACCTAAGGTGAGGCGAGAATGATTATCAGGCTCTTGCTTACCACAAAACCCTATTTCTTCTCCTTTTCTAGGCTCGGCTTCTAGTTAGGTATTAAGCATTGTAGTTTCAATAACGTATTTTTCAGTGACATCATTTTAATATGTAACTTTTACAAATAAGATTTGACCATGATATTTAATTCTTAAAACCGGTACCTAATACAAAAAACACGTCTTTTCGTCTTTGTCATGAGAAAATACCTAAATTTACTTATATAGACCCGGAATCACAATACGTGAATCTCATAAAGAATCCCTTAAGGAAGATCCCTTACGGTAATCCAACTCGCTATACTCTGCACTGCAGTCAACTAGCAAGCCATTGCGTTAGCCGTGCATTTAAATTTAAATAAAGTTGACGGAACAAACAGTTGTTGATATGTACATCAATGATTCAGTGCACATTGTGATGCAGTATCAGTTTATTTATTCAACGGTACAACAACCGGTGTAGTACATTATAAACGACGTTTGTTGATACCGCGATAATTATTGTTGTGCTGAATGTGTTAATATATTAATTGATCGGGCGTATGTGACTTTGTTATGCATCACCTACGCGTATGTTGCTTTATTCAAATATTTTGGTCCTGTTATCTAACTGCTTACACCTTCCTGCCTACCGACATAACCAACCCTACACTACCTATCCTACCCTACCTACCCAACCTACCATACATACTCTACCTTATGTTCTTCTTCGGGTAATAAACTATGTACATCCTCACCAGTTCTCAACGAAATCAGTTCAGCCGTTCTTGAGTACATTTTTTATGTAATAGGTCGGCAAACGAGCAGACGGATTACCTGATACTAAGCAATCAGCGCTGCTCATGGACACACGCGAAAGAGGAGTTACGAGTGCGTTGCCGACATTTTGGGGATTAGGGATTTGGAGATTTAGGGATTGGGGGAGAGGAAGGATTGGCCCTCCGGTAACCTCACTCACACGGCGAAATATAACACTGTGGTTGTTTCACGCCCGCTTTCTGAGAGGCTGTGGTATCACTCCGGTCGAGCCGACCCATTCGTGCCGAAGCATGACTCTTCCACACTTGCATAGTGTATATAAAACGACTTTTTTATGTAAAACTAAATACATAATTATTTAATGTTCAAATACTGTGGAACATTAGTGCAGGGAGTTAGGTTCATATGAAAGGCCTTCGTAACTACATAATATATATAGAAATTTCATTGAAACACAAACTTTTTAGATACACTTCTGTACACTTACGTAACCACCAACTATTCTAGACTAAAAGATAAACAATTGTCTTGTAGGACAAAAATCATTAGCTGACCGTCATTTAAATAGCGTCGTTCGAAAACGCACTACGTCCTTCGCGCTCAGGGAATTTGGTTACAACCGCTATTTTATATCCTGTCTGCTCAGTAATTAAGAAAACCGTGACGTGCTTAATTTGCAATCGTCATTATCTTCATTATCATCATCGATATCCAGTGACAGTCCAATAATCATCAACATACTCCACGTAAAATAGTTTGCCACGATTTGGCGATTAAAAAGTTTTTAATCAGGTTGATGATCTATACTCATAACGAAACAAGGCTAGACAACAACTCACCTTTAAAAAAACTTAAACAACAACAACAAATGAGTCTTGAAACTAAACCTACAAGTTTTAATCAAAGAAACTTACAGTAAGTTACAGTAAAACAATATTGTTTTATTTCTCAATAAAAGGATTAAAGTCAATATAAGTCGTAGTACAACTATCTGCTTCTCAACAAATGTCACTTGTCGGACAGTTACATTTATCAAAGACGTCGACTTCCAACGGCTGGGTGAGGTTGATGACTCAATAGCATTCTTTGTAATGAATAGACTTCTGTTTTTACTGTAGAACTCAAGTAATATTGTGTTTACGGTGTAGATGCAATTGTTAAAGTTAATCTGTGTGATCGTATAAGTATAGCAGCTTACCCATCGACTAAATTAAAAACTAAAGCTGAATCAACATGAAACTGAAACTGAATAATATTAGTGTTCTGTTTCTTCGATACATAGTATAGAACAAAGTCACTTTCTCTGTCCCTATGTATGCTTAATTATTTTCGATGCTGTTTTTAATAGCTAGTGCGATTGAAAAGGATGGTTTATTTGTATAATAAAATCCATTACAAAGCATAGAAATTCAGCACAAGCATTGTACTCGTGCGAATCCGGGGTGGGTCGCTAATTTCTATATAAATTAGTAAAAAGAAAACTAAGGTAATGTCTGACATACTTAATCCGTTTCAACTCCAAATGCAAGATCTTTATAAATCATATATCAAAAGTTAACTAAACGAAAAGTACCCAATAACATATTATATTATCATAATAAAACCCATTGTAACCGCCGGGGCGTGAACCGCTGACACTGCGCTCAGAAACCCAGTAAAAACGTAAACAAACATTTATTTACTGACAAAACAATTTTTCAAACGCTCAAAGTAAGCAAGGCGGACTCAACAAATGTAACCACCCAACCGCTGCGATACCGCACAGATTTATAGCAGAAGCTCCGTTCACGAACGAAATGGTATTTTTGCGCTTTCTTACACCTTTAAGTAAACTACTTGCGACCTAAGATCTTAACAAAACATTTTGTATTAGATATGGCGGTTAATAAGTAGGCTTCTATCGACACCCGCAACATCAGAGGAGTTGGAGGTGCTTTGTCAGCCTTTTGGGGATTAAAAATGTAAGGATTGGACACTTGGGGATTAAGAATGTAAGTTGGGCAAGGCCTCCCGTAACCTTATTCACACAACGAAATACAATAAGCGGTATTTTGGGAATTCGCAGTGGCTGTGCCACACTTCGTCATCGTTCGTCATCGTTTTAATGATGTAAAAAGAGTAGTAAAGTTGCTCATTTGAACCTAATTTACGTAAGTATATAGATTGGCCAAAAATATATTCTACATTTTAACTAGATTGTCTCAATATTTCCATTCCATAGTCAATATAAACCGAGATGCTTAATGCTAGACTGGCATTAACATTTATAATACTCTAATATATACAAAATATTAGATCGTAGCGATGACTTAAGTTTTCACCTGACTACAGCGAAAATAAATCAGCCATCTTGTATTACTGAGTCACCTACCTCATCAACATGTCAAGCCATGTTTTTTCCCCAAGCACGGCAGTTCGGTGATAAACGAGCTCTGATTTCACGTGTCACTACAGACCCGAGTGACAGAAAAGATCGCGTCTTTCACGAAGATAGTATATTTTATATTTAATGTACTTCTTTAGTGATTTTGCCGAGTAAAGTGTATTGATCAACCTGTTTGTTATTTTATGTTGCCAAACGATTTGACGCCATCTTTTTTTGATATGTTTCATGTGTCGCAGATGATCTATTGTGCTCTTTTGATATAATGTTTAAGGAGTATGTAATAAATATATAGGCTTTGTGCTTGTTATGGAAAAATAACAAGGCTATTGATTGTACTTTTATCTTCAAAATATTGGCATTGGCATCGTTATTGGAATGAGTATTAAGTAATCAAGATTTTATAAAGCAATATTATGAATGATGAAAATAAGTATGCCCAGTATATCAATAGGCTCGCCAGTTATAAGGTACGTTACCAAATAACCGATAATAGTTGCATTCTAATACCTAATGAAAATATCCGCATGTTGTGTACATATGTGTGTTCATATGTGCGTGTGTTCAAAACCTGCAAGGGACCAATAGGACTATTTCCAAGAACTACTTTCTAAGGTTATTTAGACATTACTGATGTACGGCAAAGAAAGGCATAATGAAGAAACTTGGATATATAAATTCTAAATCATATCGAAACATAGATTTCAAATCTGCCTTCAACAAGCAAGTTGAAGCTTTATAACTTATCCGTGTAAGAAGAGGCCTTTTTCCTCAACAGTGGTCACGTATAGAGTAATAATCATCATTACTAGTTATCACATCTTTTATAATAAACCTTTGTAATACTAAAACTAAGTAAAACATATCTAGGAAACCCAAACTATTATTATAAACGCGAAAGTAACTCTGTCTGTCTATCTGTCTGGTCTTTCATGCCTAAACGACTGAACCAATTTCTGTGATATTTGGTACAGACATAGTTTGGAACTCCAGAAAGGACATAGGATAGTTTTTATACTTACCAAAAATTTGCAGAAAGTCACTATTTATCGCGGAGAAAAGCTAGTGCTTGCTAGTGTCCATATAAATACTTCAATAACATTTCCTACGACATCAACAAACCGTAAACAAGTATATAGAAGAAGTCATTAAACACCAAGTAAACTGGAGGCGGTGCCACGGTGCAAGAGTACGCGTAATTACGCATACAATAGCCACATTACTGCGACCAGCGCTTATTAAAAAGAACAAAGAACATTCACTACGGAGGTTCTGTTCATGAATCTGAGATTTTTGTGTTATTATTTTGTATGTAACTATGTACCGATTTATTTATTTTTTGGTAGTTGTCTTTCTATTTGTTAGTTGCAAGAAGTATTATGGGAATATGTGTTTTTTTGTTTGTTTTGTATTTAACGTGTTGATTAAAAAAGATACCCAGTATTGCAGTAATACATTGAGAAAACTTTGAAAGAATAGAGAATACTAAAAATACATGTTTTTCCGAACCAATTTCATCTGAACTTTCTTGCTTGCATTTTGTACTAAGGGCCGCATGCAAGCAGGAAAGTTGCCGCTGTCTTAAATGGCTACAGGACCCAGTCCTTCGCTTTTCGAAGAGAATTGTCACTAAGGAACAGTTGAACATCCCTGAGTTACTACTTCAGATAACAATATATAGTAGATAAACACGACCAATGACGTAAGCAACAAAATCATCAAATTGATTTCAAAATCCACAACGATAAAAAAAATTGTAAAAACTTACACATTTATTTCCAAGTAACTTCCACAGTCCAACCATTGTATTACCTATCTAATTTTATCTATTTTTAATTTTAAAATCATTACTTTTATTATTTTATTCAAAATAAAACATGATCTATCATTGGCCACAAAATTTTTGTATTGTGCGCTCATAAAATTTATTATTTTTACAACTGGTATGAATGCAGTACTACTTGGACGTAGCCTCGCGCGATGAGAGTGCTTACAGTGTGGTCTTGTTATACTTGTTACTGTATTCTATTGGAGATTCTTGTGTTATAACGAGTTTACTTATTGAGTTTCACTTAGATTTTATTACCTTCCTGTAGGTATATTGTATTCTAAACTATAATTAAGTTGAAGATGGTTTGATGTTTTTTTTTTTCTGGATGACTGTCTTGGCCATAATCCTTCACGTTGCAAAAACGCAAAAGTCTACCGCGGTTTCGGCACAGGCAGAGCAGAAGAAGGAATGGGATGGCTTTTTGTCAGTAATAATCTGACTCTCCGTCTTGCCCCTCGTGGTGGTGTTAGAATAGATCAGAATATATCATGTCATCATCGCTACGCCTTAAAAAAAAGCGTTGCCTAACACTATGATTTCTTCTTGTGTTGTGAGTGCATTTAAAGCATACGAATTCACATACACAAGCCACCTGGCCCCGAATGCACAATTTGTGGATCATATAAAGTGTTGTTCCCGCGAAGTGTTGAACCCGCGACACGTTGCATAACAGCCAGTTGCTCAGCCTGCGCCAACAGTGAAGTCAAATGTAGAATATCTCTCGAGTGTCCAAATATTACAGAATCACTGCTGTAACTTAAACTTAGTAACCTAAACCTACACTTAAAGCCACTCAATCAAAACGGTTCACTTAAACAAAAGAATACCTACATTAATGGTTACCAGCGTAAAATGAACCTTAATATCATAAGTGTACACTGTCGTTAGGTCATTAGTGTCGGATTCACTCCTACCTTCCCTGTTCTGCGACAGGATACCCATTCGTGGCTTTGAGAATGGTTTTTGTAAATAAAGATTGATGGCTCTGTCCCAAAAACTATTGTTTTTGCGAAATTATATTGTTTACTATATTTTTTTCTTTTACAATTTATTTTTAAAGGCGT